AACCTCAAATTTCAATACAATCCGTTGATTTCTTTGTTAATTACTATGATTTTTTAGGTTTATTTAGAACTGATTTCTAATTATTAAGTAATACCCCCACTTGGATACATAAACTAGTTTTATAAATTGTGTTTTTATTAGTGTGTATTGAAAATTGAAAAAAAATGATTTGCTCTTCCTTTCCCCATGTTTCCTGACTATATATAGAATCTTAATGGTAAAAGTAACTTGTAAATGATATCAGTTAATGTCAAGGGTTCTTGAGAGTAGAATGTGCTTCATATAAGACAATTTTGTTTTATTTTATTTTCAATTTTTCTCTTATGGGCTTGAGAGGGGAATGTTAAGCTTATTGATGCTTGTTAGTTGAAGAGGGCAGATAGATTTTTGTTTCTTTGCTCTAGGTTTATTGAATCGCCTTCATATGTGTATTATTATTTCTTAATGATGCACAAGAGAAGGCATTATGCTGAACTTTTTGCCAGTAGCTGGTTCACTGATCATAGACCTCTGTGGACTATGGTATCGGGCAGGTGAGATCTCTAGTGGGAGACAGGATGGCTCTTCTTGTACAGACAATCTCTGCCGTGACAATAGCCTGCACCATGGGCCTTATCATTGCCTGGAGGCTAGCCGTTGTGATGATTGCAGTCCAACCCATTATTATAGTCTGCTTTTATGTCCGGCGAGTTCTACTGACAAGCATGTCTCAGAAGGCCATCAAAGCACAAGATGAAAGCACCAAGCTTGCTGCAGACGCAGTTTCCAACCTTCGAACTATCACCGCCTTCTCCTCTCAAGATCGGATCCTGAAGATGCTCGAAAAAGCCCAAGAAGGTCCACAAAAAGAGAACATTAGACAGTCGTGGTATGCTGGTATTGGGCTGGGCACCTCTCAAAGCCTGATGTCGTGCACTTGGGCGCTAGATTTTTGGTATGGTGGCAGACTCATCTCTCAAGGTTACATCACAGCGAAAGCCCTGTTCGAGACCTTCATGATCCTCGTAAGCACTGGTCGAGTAATAGCCGATGCAGGAAGCCTGACGACGGATCTGGCCAAGGGGTCAGATTCCATCCGGTCAGTCTTCGCCGTGCTGGATCGTTACACGAGAATCGAACCAGAGGACCCTGACGGTTACCAGCCCGCAGAAATAGAAGGGCATGTAGAGCTTTGTGACGTTGATTTTGCATACCCAGCCAGGCCCGATGTCAGGATCTTCAAAGGCTTCTCAATCAGCATTGAGGCAGGTAAATCAACCGCATTGGTCGGACAAAGTGGGTCGGGAAAATCAACTATCATTGCATTAATTGAACGTTTTTATGATCCGCTAAGGGGCACAGTAAAAATAGACGGCCGGGACATTCGGTCATACCACCTGAGGTCACTGAGGAAGTACATTGCTCTTGTGAGCCAAGAACCCACGTTATTTGCCGGCACGGTCAAGGAAAACATCACATACGGCGCATCCAATGAAGTGAGTGAATCCGAGGTAATGGAGGCAGCTAAAGCAGCAAATGCTCACGATTTCATTGCTGGATTAAAAGATGGATATGACACATGGTGTGGGGACAAGGGAGTGCAGCTATCTGGGGGCCAAAAACAACGTATTGCAATAGCCCGTGCCATCCTGAAAAATCCAGTGGTTTTGCTCTTGGATGAGGCAACCAGCGCGCTTGACAGCCAGTCGGAGAAGGTTGTTCAAGATGCCCTGGAGCGTGTGATGGTGGGGAGGACAAGCGTAGTTGTGGCGCATAGGCTAAGTACCATTCAGAATTGTGATCTCATCGCAGTCCTGGATAAAGGGAAGGTGGTGGAGCAAGGGACTCACTCATCTTTGTTCTCGAAGAGACCCACCGGGATTTACTACTCGTTTGTACGTCTCCAGGCCCAGAGGACAACACAAAACAGTGCCACCGCCACGACCGCCGCATTCAGTTAATTATTGACCATGGTTATCAGGGTGAAAATTGAGCCTGGGGTTATTCCTTTCTCTTTTTCTTTTCATCTGATTGTCATCGAAATTAATGTGCTGAAAGGACTCTTGACATTTTGAATGCCAAATTAATCTTCTTCTTTTCCCTGTTATTAGAGGCAGTTTCTTTATTTTTATTTTTTCTTTTTGAAGACAATTCATGTTTGAGTTTCGTATTTTGCTCCAAGTTGTACTATTAATAAATAATTATAACAACTCTTCGTAAAAATTTAATCGATTAAGTTTTAAATTTATTTTAAATTTTTAAAATTAATAAAAACCTGTAAAATTAGTAAAGATATAATCAAACTATTTCGAATATTTATAATAATAAAAATAAATAAGTAAATATGGCTTAAAATTTATCCAAGCAACTATACATATCCAATAAAGGAGAGAAAGCATTAAATGTCTGCTTTGATTCTCTTAATTAGAGTTTCAATCCCTCATCATTTCAAATCCATTTTTATCGGTGAATAATTGCAAGAAAAATATATATGCAAAGCTTTTTGGCAAGTTTTCAGAGTCCTTTATTTTTTTTTAAAAATATAATAATAATTTGTATTTCTAAGCGTATCAGTTTTTTAGATCTTGTATCAAACAAATTCCACAATTTTCATTAGATTTTCAGTCCCTCGTCATTTCCGTAGGTGATAATAACAATCCATTTTTGTCAGTAATAATTGCAAATATATATGAACTTTAATTAATTATTTTCTATTTTCTATGAAGTATATGATATATTTTAATATCATCTAAAAAATATAACAAATCTAACAAAAAAAATTAAAACACGTGTGACAGAAATTGAATAGGTTAAGGGTTATTAGGAAAGGGAATTGCTCCATGTTTTTAGAATTTTCTAGAAAAGATTGAGTTTAATTTTTATTATAAATCTCATATAAAGATTTTCATTTTTATAGTTAAAAAAAATAAGATCTATGATAGTTTTTAATTTTAAAAAAATAAAATTAATATTTTATAATTTGATTATCATGAATATAAACTATTATGTAATATTGCTAAGCTCGTGAATGACAAGTCAATCAACATGTATTAATTAATTATATTAACTAAATAAATTTATAAAAATATTGGTTTATTTCAAACTTATTCAATCTATTTTAATAGTTCTCTTAATTAATTATTAATTATTAATTATCTATATAAATTTAAATTTCTATACATTTATTGAAAATTACAACTCAACAATAAAATTGAAAAAAATATAAAACAAACTCATTAAATGAATTATTATTTATTTCATTACAAAACACCGAAGTTAAAAATTCAAGTTTCATCAATTTACAAATAAATACAATTTTATAAAATCTAAAACAAACTCTAACATGTACAAATCACAAATCCATAAAACAAATTTAATATATATGTGAAAAAAACTATAAAACAACTAAACACTCAAACAAAATACATATACAAAAAAAAAAATTAACATTTTAATTTTTTTTTTAAATTAGAAAAGGATAGATTTTCTTACTTAGGATAGATAATCGTTAATAAAATTTTAATTAAAATATTAATGTTGACAAACCAAGTGTTGTGGTGATTAGTTTGTTGAGAAAGGTTAAATTGTGTTGAGATTGCGTGATGACTATTTGTTGCATTAAAAATGGAAAGGAAGAAGGATAAATAAGAGAAAGGGAGAAGAGAGTCGATTGTTTGATCATAAATTAAATATTAACAACAAAATGACTAACAAAATTATTCTTTTAATAACCTTGTTGGTTATTCTATTAATAAAAATATCATGTCATTGTATGATTTATCTTTTTTGACTCCTACAGTAACACCAACCATAATTTCATTGATATATATATTTAAGGATTTTTTCTGTCTGTATATTTAAGGATGTGCTTTATAGTCAAGTTCATTCTATCAGTAAAAGTCACACATCATTATATTATTTGACTTTTTATTTTTTTTTATTTTTTACTGCAATTTCATTGTTATATACTAATGAAAAAATTCCATCTATGTTTACCAATAAATATAAAGATGAAAAATTCTATCAATAAAGTTCACAACAATATATTAACAAAAAAAAAAAATTTTATTAGTATTTCTATTCTATTTGCTAATTTTTTAGTAGTAAACCATTTTAATTTTTATTTCATAATTGAAGTGATTTAATTTTGTTTTCAGTGTTAAAATCCATTTCAAACTTTTTGTTTATTTTTTTATATATAATATACATTATTATTGTGGTCCAGACTCGTGTGTAGATGTTCTCATTGCATTTATATGTCTTAAAACTTTTTATTTGTCATATGCATGTGTCTTGTTATTTTTAATATTTTTACTAAATGTTTTTGTGTGAATATAAAGTGTTACAAGCCTCTTCACCGTGTGCGGCTTTTGCTTTTTATATATATAATATAGTTAAATAAAGATCTGAAAAGGATTGTGGTTGATAAAAACAAATTTGAATGTTTGTTTGTGTGATTAGAAGTATAAATTTATTATTTTCGAAGTATAGATGGCTCCATCCATGACATGAAGCTCTTATGAGTTTGATGGTATGTCGTGTATTTATTTTTTGTTTGTCTTTTATGATGATTGTTTACATATATATATATATATATATATATATGTTATTTTCATGGAGTCTTGAGGATATTGACAAATCTTTTAGATCTTTTTTTTTTAATTACTTTACTTTGAGTGATTTATTTTTTTGTATTTTAGATGTCTATATTACTAATTTAATTTTTTTTTAATTGTACATAAAAATAAAATAAAAGTATAATTAGTGGCGGAGCTAGAGTTTTTCAAATGAGAGGGAAAATTATTAACAAATACTATATTATATAGACATGCATTAGAAATCAATTCAAAACATATATATTAGTTCATATAAAGTAAAATTAATTTAAAAATTAAAAAAACTTACATTATAATTGTTCACTTCGAGTTTTCATGTTTTGAAACCGCTTCATAATAGCTTTATTATCAATTTTATCAAAAATATCTTTCTTAATGTATACAACTAAACTATCATTCATCCACTTATCTCCTATTCTGCAATATACTCTTCACAATATACATAACAGAAAAAACTCTCTCCACTGTAGCAGTTGTAACTAGTTGAAGTAATAATAATTTGATAAGCATATATATTAATGAAAATATCAAATTCTTCATTGTTTTTACCATTTTCTTTGCAAGACTAGCAATACCTTCAATACCAGAGAACTTATCATCACCACGTAGATCACTAATATATGTATCAAGTTGGTCACCAAGTACTATAAGGTCCTCTATAGAGAATTCACTAGGATAAAAAAAGAGTAAAGCGAATAAGCTTTTTTTTGTTGAAAGTAGAGAAAAAGTCATTTGGGCTTAAATATGCCATATAAATAAATACCTTTGTATTCGTCTTAGTAAAACGATCATCCAACTCAGTAGGTTGTATGTCAATGATATTGTTAAACAATTCATAACGGAAGTGGTGTAAGTTTGTAATCCCTTGAGATTTTCACCATGAACGTCAACGAAACTTATACTCATCATCTATGTTTAGAATATCAATATCATGTTTGATGCAAAAAGATGACACTTCTAGTAAAGATTCCCAATCATTCTCTCTTATCATTTTAAATCGATCCTTTAATGTTTTTAATAAACTAATAGCATTTTCTATGTCTTGATCTTTCTTTGTAATGCTTGTAAGAACTTATTAGTAACTGCTAGTATTCTTCTCAAACAATAAAGTATGAATATAAAATTAAATCATTCTATAATACTTTTTAAAATGACCGCTTCTGTTTTATGTTCTGAATTCATCCCATCCTCCCTTATAATCTCAAGCATATCAAATAAAATTGAAGACATCTCCAACGTCATTAAGCTTCTTTGTAACAACCATAAGAGTCAATTGAAGTCTGTGAGGAAAATAATGTATATAATATACATTGGGATTGTTATTTAAAATAAGTGTTTTCAAGCCATTGAATTCACATCGCATGTTACTAGCTCCATCATATCCCTAACCACGCAATCTTGATATCCTTAACCTATGTTTAGAAAACAAAGCTTTAATAATTGCTTTTAGTGAATTAGCAGTTGTATTTGACAAATGTTGAATACCAAACAAATGTTCAATTATATGTCCATTGTTGTCTATATATCATATAACAACTACCATTGTTCTTTGATTGATATGTTACATGACCCATTAATTAAAATTTAAAATAATGAGTCACCTAGATATTTGATAATCACATTTGTAATCTTTTTTGCAGCAGCTTGAGTAATGTCTTTTTGAATATCTGGAGAAGTCAATTTGTTAAATTTAGGAGCTTCATTGAAAGTAGCTCTTTTAATAGTTTCATTATTTCTGGACAGAAAATGCAAGAGCTCTAGATAATTTTTTTGGTTGCTTAAATGTTCACATTCATCATGACCACAAAATGAAAGTCCTTGGTGTAACTGATTAGTACTTAAAAATGCATTCTCATTAAGGATTTATGTCATCATATTGCACCTAAAGTATCATTAAATTCCCTAACAAAAACATGTTTTATATTAGCAAGTCTAAAAATATAATATACCTTTAATTCATGGTAAATGTTCATCCTAAATGCAGGTCTATCACATAAATAAAAGGATTGATTGATGAGTTTAAGGATTGAAATTGAAAGGATAAAAAGAAGGCTAAACTTAGTAAAGTGTTGCTGGTGCATTCCAAACTTGAACACCGTTCAGTAATTTGATCATATCTGGAGCTGTAGATATCAGATTTAGGTCCATTTTATATCGATGGAAAGGTAAGACATAGACCTACAACTTTCATATGAAGTCAAAGACTCAGTTCTGCCGTTTTCAAGCCCAAATCTTAGCAACAACGAAGACGTCGGAAGCTGTCCTGCAGCTCAAGCACTATTCGGTTTTTGGCTCATATCTTGAGTTCTAGAAGTCCAAATGAGCTCTGGTTTTTTTTGATGGAAAGCTGAGACAATTGCCCACAGATTCCACAATTCAGTTGGCTATAATTCTGATGTGAGCAATGACGTTTTGGCCAGCCAACAATATCAAAAATCAGCCCACAATATCAAAAAACCAGCAGCCATTAATGTCAAAAACCAGCCACCAAATCAATGGATGCCCACCAATTCTTCAATCAATCAATAGTTCTGAAACTTAGCCTATAAAAGGAGGCATTGTCCATGTATTTAGTCATATTAATTTTCAGATCAAAGTTATCTTCTTGCTTTCTCTCTACATCTTTGTAATGTTCAAGTTTTCTTTTATGCTATAGTAATCTCTTGTTTATGCTCTTTCATTTCCTTTCCTATACTTAGTTAGCTTATATTATGTTTATGTTCTTATATTGTTTATTTGTGTTTTTCTCCTTCTTAATGTTTAGCTAAGTTAATTATGTCAAGGTGAAAAGGTTTCTCTAATGGTGTTAGAATATGTATAATATAAACTCAACATGAGCTTTAAATGTTTATATCCAAGAAAGATTGTTATTAACATGTTTGATTTTTTTATCTTACTAATTCTTAATACCTTGCTTATTAAATGTTTAATTTAGATTTGTGTTGTATAATATTTGAATAAAATTAATTTAAAAATAAAAAAAAACTTACATTATAATTGTTCACTTCGAGTTTTCATGTTTTGAAACCGCTTCATAATAGCTTTATTATCAATTTTATCAAAAATATTTTTCTTAATGTATACAACCAAACTATCATTCATCCACTTATCTCCTATTCTGCAATACACTCTTTACAATATACATAACAGAAAAAACTCTCTCCACTGTAGCAGTTGTAACTGGTTGAAGTAATAATAATTTGATAAGCATATATATTATCAAATTCTTCATTGTTTTTACCATTTTCTCTCCAAAACTAGCAATACTTTCAATACCAGAGAACTCATCATTACCACGTAGATTACTAATATATGTATCAAGTTGGTTACCAAGTACTATAAGGTCCTTTATAGAGAATTCACTAGGATAAAAAAGGAGCAAAGCGAATAAGCTTCTTTTTTTTGTTGAAAGTAGAGAAAAAGTCATTTGGGCTTAAATATGCCATATAAATAAATGGTGTAAGTTTGTAATCCCTTGAGATTTTCACCATGAACGTCAACGAAACTTATACTCATCATCTATGTTTAGAATATCAATATCATGTTTGATGCAAAAAGATGACACTTCTAGTAAAGATTCCCAATCATTCTCTCTTATCATTTTAAATCGATCCTTTAATGTTTTTAATAAACTAATAGCATTTTCTATGTCTTGATCTTTCTTTGTAATGCTTGTAAGAACTTATTAGTAACTGCTAGTATCCTTCTCAAACAATAAAGTATGAATACAAAATTAAATCATTCTATAATACTTTTTAAAATGACCGCTTCTATTTTATGTTCTGAATTTATCCCATCCTCCCTTATAATCTCAAGCATATCAAATAAAATTGAAGACATCTCCAACGTCATTAAGCTTCTTTGTAACAACCATAAGAGTCAATTGAAGTCTGTGAGCAAAATAATGTACATAATATACACTGGGATTGTTATTTAAAATAAGTGTTTTCAAGCCATTGAATTCACATCGCATGTTACTAGCTCCATCATATCCCTGACCACGCAATCTTGATATCCTTAACCTATGTTTAGAAAACAAAGCTTCAATAATTGCTTTTAGTGAACTAGCAGTTGTATCTGATACATGTTGAATACCAAGCAAATGTTCAATTATATGTCCATTGTTGTCTACATATCATATAACAACTACCATTGTTCCTTGATTGATATGTTACATGACCCATTAATTAAAATTTAAAATAATGAGTCACCTAGATATTTGATAATCACATTTGTAATCTCTTTTGCAGCAGCTTGAGTAATGTCTTTTTGAATATCTGGAGAAGTCAATTTGTTATATTTAGGAGCTTCATTGAAAGTAGCTCTTTTAATAGTTTCATTATTTCTGGACAGAAAATGCAAGAGCTCTAGATAATTTTCTTGGTTGCTTAAATGTTCACATTCATCATGACCACAAAATGAAAGTCCTTGGTGTAACAAAAAATGAGCACACTCTATTGAATCATTCAATTGAGTTCGATAATCACTTTGACTCTTTACTGTCTATTCAGATAACAAAGTCATGATACTTTGCTTTTCATTCATCAAATTCTCACATTTTATCTAAACTGTATTGTGACTACTATTAGACTTTCCAATATCAAGATCAAATCTTTTCCTTTTTTTTTTTCAATTTGAAAACTCATCACTCAAATGAATCAACACCCTCTTTTAACTTGAAAAGGTAACAATATAAGCAAAAGGCAGCATCTTTGGCTATGTTGTACTCTAAACATTTGAGTATACACCAAAACAAGTTGGATTAAAGCGTTGTAGTGTTGGTATATTCCCAAATTATTTTTGAGAAAAATCATAGTGTGAAGGTTGACAAGGACCTTTTTGTAGATAAACTCTTTAGATTGCATCCCTATCATTTACATGGTACTCATAAATTAGTTTTCTTAAGTCAGGGTTAACAAGGAGAGTGTCGGGATTGATTTCAATATGACTTTTCTTTGAACTTCATTGAGTTACATGACTTGAAGCTTTGATTGACTCTTCATTCTTAAGGGATTTATACTTGGAATACTTGTTTAGTGACATGTTAATTTAATATGAACCTGCTGAATTTTTTTTTTTTATCATTTTCAGTGTCTACATAATAATTAACACAACTATATAATAATTTATTGTTAAACAAAGTCAATTGAGTTACATAATAATTCTAAATCTTCCAAATGAAATTAATAGCAAAATATACGTCAATTAATCAAAATCAAAACCTATTTCAATTCATATCTATATGTATATAATAAGTATGTTGATTAAATTATAATTAATCATTTCTAGACATTTAATTAATTAACAATGCTTAGAAAACATGTTTTCTATTTGATAAAAGTATGAATACAAAATTAAATCATTCTATAATACTTTTTAAAATGACCGCTTCTGTTTTATGTTCTGAATTCATCCCATCCTCCCTTATAATCTCAAGCATATCAAATAAAATTGAAGACATCTCCAACGTCATTAAGCTTCTTTGTAACAACCATAAGAGTCAATTGAAGTCTGTGAGGAAAATAATGTATATAATATACATTGGGATTGTTATTTAAAATAAGTGTTTTCAAGCCATTGAATTCACATCGCATGTTACTAGCTCCATCATATCCCTAACCACGCAATCTTGATATCCTTAACCTATGTTTAGAAAACAAAGCTTCAATAATTGCTTTTAGTGAACTAGCAGTTGTATCTGATACATGTTAATAATTGCTTTTAGTGAATTAGCAGTTGTATTTGACAAATGTTGAATACCAAACAAATGTTCAATTATATGTCCATTGTTGTCTATATATCATATAACAACTACCATTGTTCTTTGATTGATATGTTACATGACCCATTAATTAAAATTTAAAATAATGAGTCACCTAGATATTTGATAATCACATTTGTAATCTCTTTTGCAGCAGCTTGAGTAATGTCTTTTTGAATATCTGGAGAAGTCAATTTGTTAAATTTAGGAGCTTCATTGAAAGTAGCTCTTTTAATAGTTTCATTATTTCTGGACAGAAAATGCAAGAGCTCTAGATAATTTTCTTGGTTGCTTAAATGTTCACATTCATCATGACCACAAAATGAAAGTCCTTGGTGTAACAAAAAATGAGCACACTCTATTGAATCATTCAATTGAGTTCGATAATCACTTTGACTCTTTACTGTCTATTCAGATAACAAAGTCATGATACTTTGCTTTTCACTCATCAAATTCTCACATTTTATCTAAACTGTATTGTGACTACTATTAGACTTTCCAATTTCAAGATCAAATCTTTTCCTTTTTTTTTTTCAATTTGAAAACTCATCACTCAAATGAATCAACACCCTCTTTTAACTTGAAAAGGTAACAATATAAGCAAAAGGCAGCATCTTTGGCTATGCTGTACTCTAAACATTTGAGTATGCACCAAACCAAGTTGGATTAAAGCGACATTTGAGTATACACCAAAACAAGTTGGATTAAAGCGTTGTAGTGTTGGTATATTCCCAAATTATTTTTGAGAAAAATCATAGTGTGAAGGTTGACAAGGACCTTTTTATAGATAAACTCTTTAGATTGCATCCCTATCATTTACATGGTACTCATAAATTAGTTTTCTTAAGTCAGGGTTAACAAGGAGAGTGTCGGGATTGATTTCAATATGACTTTTCTTTGAACTTCATTGAGTTACATGACTTGAAGCTTTGATTGACTCTTCATTCTTAAGGGATTTATACTTGGAATACTTGTTTAGTGACATGTTAATTTAATATGAACCTGCTAGATTTTTTTTTTTTATCATTTTCAGTGTCTACATAATGGTTAACACAACTATATAATAATTTATTGTTAAATAAAGTCAATTGAGCTACATAATAATTCTAAATCTTCCAAATGAAATTAATAGCAAAATATACGTCAATTCATCAAAATCAAAACCTATTTCAATTCATATCTATATGTATATAATAAGTATGTTGATTAAATTATAATTAATCATTTCTAGATATTTAATTAATGAACAATGCTTGGAAAACATGTTTTCTATTTGATATTTTATTTACAAATAAATCATGTGAAAATATTAAATTTCAATAAACTATTCTGTCAATGCAAGAGATGTCAATAATAGTGGTTTTGCATGAATATTAATTTATTTTTTTTATAATAAGAAAAGAAACACTTAATCGATTAAATTAGAAAATTTAAACATTTATTTTGAACATATTAAAACACATTCATATCAAAACTCTTAAATTATCATAAACCCTAATATTTTTAATAACTATTATAAAAGAATAAAATTAAAATTAAACAATAAAATAAATAGAAAAAATGAAAAAAATTTACCTAAAACATAAAGCAAAAAACAAAAAAGATTAATTAATGAGAAATTTTCATAAAAAAAATGTAGGAACGACAACTAAACAAAATACCCTTTTTGTTTGGTTAGACAGGAAAAAATAAAAAAACAAAAAGGAAAAGTGGAAAAATTAGGGAGCCATAATATATAATATATATATTAATATTAACATATAAGTTAAGTTAGTAAAAAATAATAAAAAATAAAAACTTTTAATACGTGTATCAATGATTCACACCCATTAATATATTAATATTTTAATACAAAAAAATAATTAAGGAAGCAATTGTTCCTTTCTGACCAATATGGCTCCGTCATTAAATATAATATTATATTTATAGGAAAATATAAAAATTCTATAAATAAAAAAAACAATATTAATTTATTTCTTAAATAATATTATATATATTATTTTAAAATAATTTTAAAAATTTATTCAACCAAATTTCTACTTGATTTTTTATAAATATAAAATTATAATTCTGTATATTAATTACATTCAAACTTAATTAATCATTCTATTTTAATTTCTAATCAATAATTTATTAAACAAATATTAAATTCATTAATCAATTATAAATAAATATTTAATTTTTTATTAATAATAAATAAATTTTACATTAATAAAATTAGTACTACTCTCAACATCATTACATATGTCAATAACAACATCTCTCAAGATCTTACGTTGTTCTTCATGATTCTTGCTGCATTATCTTGTCTTAATCAATTCAATTTTAGAGTGCTCTCTGGATGAAGTCCGAACTTAATCAATTCACTTTTAGAGTGCTCTCTGGATGAAGTCCGAAGGACTGTACTTCATCGACTTGCATTTCTTCTTGTTCCTCATAAATGTCTTCATTCTTCTGTTCTCTTTTCTTTTTCACTGAATTGCCACCATCAATTAGGACCAACAGCAGCACTATATCATCAATCTTTATAAAGTTCATGCGCTCCATGAATTTCTGAGTCGGGAGATACGATTCATCTCAAATCAATGTAGGATATATCGTAAACTTGGTGCAATTGTTTTTCTTCAATTCTTGCTTGCTTAGGACCAACTAATTATGACAGCAGAATAACGGAGGCCTCATTAAATAAAAAGCAAATGAAAAACAAGAAGCCCCAGTAATCAGCATTTTTACAGTAGTTCTATGCTACAAGTTCGCATAGAGAACAAGAACGGACAGACATGAAGCTGAAAATGCAGGGGAGGGAAAATAGGTTTTGATGATGCCTCAATAACCCCTAAGATCCAGTGGAAGGAACCAGCAAATTACCCAAGATGTGTATCGGCCTGGAATTTGATCATCTAAGGTAATGATAGTGATAAAAAAGAGAACAAGAAAAAGTTTAAGGAACGACTGGCCATTTTATGGTATGCAATGAAAGAAAAGGCATCACACTAGCAGTAACCAAGGCACTATCGCATGCAGCAAAATTCAAATTTCATCACTGTTTGCCTTTAGCTATAGAAGAGCAAATGCAGACCTCTTGATCGCGTCAAGTCCGAATTTTTTATCTAATGGATAACAGGAATTGTACACAAGAAAAAAAAAAAACTTGCATCAAGGCCTTCCATACAAATTTTTAGCTGAACTTTGATCACTCCATTGAATCATTCTGCTGTCAGCCTTGCAACTTCTGCACAACGGCACCTGCTTCCAAGACAAACTTGACTGTATTTCATGGGATGGCATCCCATAAATGATTTTGCTCTTGAAGTTTGATAATGTTCAATAAGGTAGAAAAGTTAATTCTGTTTTGCAACTCATCCACATGCTATCAAAACCTGCAAAGATATCATAGTACAATCAAATTTCTGTGTTCACTGGTGAGGCCGCAATACCATCTTGTATGCTTGTATTTCCATGGGAGAGATGAATACGTGTCCCTCTTGACCTACATCCCCAACCTGCTCCATATATCCAAGCATCTCTATGTCTTCGTGCAAAAGATTCAAAGAAGTTGCCTTAACATTCAACACCTCAAGCTCCTTGAACATGTTGAAAAGATTCACAGGTTTATTAGCAACACTGGTGCACTGAGAATGACAATTTTGACAGTATGAAGTATCCCAATGTCTCCTCTGTAATATCAGGACAAACCTAGAATCTCCAATCAGTTGCTGAGAATATTTTAATGGCCGGGGAACTTTAAAATTCACGATATGCAAGTCACAAGGCAAGGGAGCTGCTAAAGGTGAGAAGGATCTAGGAGGTGGTTGCATAGATAACTCCTGGGGGTTCTTCGCAACAAATACATGTAATGGATAATTCAAGTGAGCACCAACACAGTGAGAGAGAAGAGAAGGGCTCAGGGGAAGAGGATTGGAAACAGGATTAGAAGTGGAAGAAATGTTAGACTCAAAAAGGATGTGAAAGATCACATTCATTGGACGATTATCCATCACTCCTTGCCCAAGACCACGTCCATCATCTCTTAGCAAACGACGATCAAGCATAATCTCTAACCATCCTTCTTTAAGGCCGGCCACACCCAGTGACTGTCTAGAATGGACAGAAAACCTCTTCCCATTGGATCCTTGCATGAATGCTAGAGAGGGCATAGGGTAGTAATTCCCCTGCATGGGAATCTTATCATAAGTTTCTCTCCTGCTCATCTGAAAGCCATTTAAATCAGAATAGAAAATCCTTCTATTATCAAGATCTGTCTTGTATCTAACTATCAATTCCCTGTCATTAAAATCTTGGCCAAGAAGCTCAACATGGTATTCTTTCTCGATAAGCAATTCTCTTGCAGTATTATCTCCATTGTAAATTCGAGTGCTATGGGAGATGTGGGTTTTCTCCCAACTTGTTTTAGGATACGAGTACACTTCCTGCACCATTAGACCCTCAGATATCACCATGTGCCCACCAGCCTCAATGATAGGCTGAGCATCACCATTGGGTTTGAATAGGTAGGCCCCACTTCCATAACTAGAGTACATTCCTATTTCTTCACCCACATCATTTATGGAACCATCTTTACGAGTTACTTTCTGCAACAGACCATGCTTGATATCAAAGGTGAGAGTTTGATGTTGATTCTGAATTTCAGCCACGTCACCTTCAATCTTGGAGCAATTATATGGAGCAGGGCAAGAAAACGAATTGGATGTTGAGAAGTATTTAAGTTTAGCTGGTTTTGCTTTTTCACATCCCACAAAACCATTAGCAACATAATATGTTTGCACCCCCATGGCAGGAACAGAAGCTTTCCAGTGGACACGATGCCTTCCAGTAAAAGTTTTGCTTTTATCGTGCTGCAATTCAGGGGACACTTGACTTGGGACACAAGTCCAGTTTGAATCCAGAATAGTGACATCGAGCCTGTTAACAATAAGCATCACAATTTCTTCTCTACTTTGCTCCAAGGGATTAAAAAACACAACAGACTGTGAAGTTCCTTCACGAGCACTGATTGCCTTGTGTACTGGCTGAACATCATATTTAGATCTCACCTGTTCCGACTCAAACTGGGATGGGTTATGGTCAGATTTTTCATGACGAATACCAAGAAGTACTTCAATAGCTTTGGACATGAAAATTTGCAAGTCCTGTAAAGAAGTATGCATTCGAGTTCCATAGTCCCAAACTACATGATCCTTAGCAGTGCCAGTTACCCCATCATGATGCTGGAAAAGAGCTAAATTCCTCCTTGCAGCAGTCATCTTGTAGGCAAATCCTGTGGCCAATTTTTCACATTGTGCTCTCTGGCAATAACCATGCAACAAAGCCATCATTATTTCAGCAGCACGAATTGTTTGCTCTAGTACCCGATAAACAGCCTTAAAGAAAGGCCTTGAGATGTAATAGCCACTCCAATAGTCCTGTTGCCTATCAGCATAAGTAAAGAAGTCACCTGATAGAGATGGAAAACCCCCTATCTGACTAGAGCCAACCTCTCCAGGAAGAGAATAATTTATCCTATCAACCTCTTCACGAAGAGTGTTAAAGTAATCTTCCAAAGTACCAAATTTTGCTTCTGCATTTAAACTAGGATTAGAGTTGATGTAATCAAATAACATTTGGTAATTACGAAACTGAGCTTCTGCTTCATCAATATTGACATAGCGGAAATCATCACCGAGAGGAACAAGGAGAGTATTAGTCCGGTACAGAGTTGATTTCTTCCTGTATTGATCCAGTAACTTTAGGGCTCTCTCCTGTACATTTTTATGGTTGATTTCCACTGGATGTTTGCCCCAAGGGCACAATTCATAATTAAAGCCATGCATTCGAGCAAAATCAAATTGACAACAAATAGCAGGCTCTGGTCCACAAGTATGAGGAATATCATAGGAATAGAAGGGCATCATGTGTGTAAAAATATCAGTGCTTTCCTCAGCATCCCAGTTTTGACGCCAAATATATTCTAAATTCTTTTGCAAAGCAAGTTCCTTCTTCAGCTCATAGTGGGTCCTTTGAATAAGCATGTTCTCGAAGCCCATACGACGGAGCAGATAGGCCATGGTAGGAGAGTAACCAAATGGATCAATTGCCCATGAATTCTTAGGAACAACCCCAATGGTGTCATTCAACCACATATTCCCCTCTGTAATCTGAAACATAAATTCCAAAAGCTTAATCTAGATCATTAAGACAGGAAAAATAAAATCCAAGGCATATTTTTCATCACACAACAATGCTTCTGTATTCCAAAACCAGATTGTGAGTAAAACCAAATGCATCAAACCACTAACTAAGAAAATAAGTAATACAATACCTAATATTCTATCTTATAGTGTGCAAAAACTAATAAAAAATAAAATAAGAGATGTCATCGTGGAAGATTAACAGCATACCATGAACTCCTAAAAATGGCATGCTTGAATCCACTCATCAGCCCAGCATTGATCTCCCATTTGCGTGTGTGTGTGAGTGACTTGAAAAATACAAGCCAAATTTAACTGCATAAAAGGAACTCCTACAAATGCTAGGCTTTAAAATACTCATCAGTCTAGCATTAATCTTCAATTTGTGTGTGTGCACACGGTACTTGGAAAATACAAGCCAAATTTAATTTCCTCAGATTGTACTACCAGGCGATACTAACAAGTAAAAGGCCCAAACGGTGTACTATTTTCCCATTCTGGGGATAGAAAAATGATTTCTTTTTCCCCTGGAATACGACCAAGGTGGTTTACATTCCCCACTTTAACTGAGGAAAGACGATTGGAAACTGTGTACATTGCTTTCAACTTGTCAAACTTCAACAGAAAAGGAAAGACATAATTAAACAGCATATGAATACAAAGATATGAATCCAATGTCCAATCATAGTAGTTTAACAAATTCTGAGCACAAAATTCATTACCATAACCGAATAAATGCATTTAAGGAAATGAATGTTTAAGAGTATATACCTGCTCGATTATGGCAAAAAAATGAGAATTAGCCTGCATCAAGAGAGAGGAAAAAATGGTCATCAAATGAATGTATCAGTCATAAATCACTTTATACAATAACGAAACACAGGGTAAAGAGAAACAGGTGTTTTAAATCTAGAGATTGGATAAAAGAAAGAAAGAAAGAAAAATAAATAAATAAATGTGGTCTTCTTTAGATAAAAGCAATAGGCAGCAGATGCATGGGTAACTTTGCAAGTAGAAAGAATGATAAGCTGATCAACGTCAAAATTACGTACCTCATCATTCATTACCCAACCGCCCCCAACAATTTCCAACTGTCCTGCCTTGACTAAATTGGTAAACGATTCTCTTTTTTCCACTGATGCATCCCTCCACCATCTCTCCAAATAAGACATCTCTTCCCATATGAATTTCCGACGAGAATCCTAGAGAATCCCAATGAAATGTTTACCAAATCCAATTTTAAAATACTAGATGAATATTTTATTACCTACCTTGGAAAGTGTGTGGACGATTGTATCAAGTATATGCCTTGTTTGCCTATCATAATACTCCTCGACAGTAAGCTTCCAGCCTGGATCA